TCTTTGATGCCAGCACTGACACTTTTGGTGCTGTGACCCAATGGAATTTTAAAGGGTGTCTATGGCACCTTTTTATGAACTTCCTTAACAGTGAAAATGGGGCATGACAAAACTTTAGTCAACCATGGATGGAGAAATGCCATTGGAGCTACTTCAGTAACAGAAGTTAATACAGCATTGTGCTGAGAGCTTGAATATTGCTGAGAAAACAATGGGGTTGAGGTTCTAAAGGTAAATAGACTGTGCATTTTGCAAAGTGTAGTTGCTCCAGGGCTTAGTAAATGAGGGAAAGCTCTGCAGCAAAAATGCTGTTTTTTTTATTTTCCTTGCACATGATTAGGTATTCTTTGCAAAGTGAAGCTTCACCTCATTTACTAAGCTCTGGAGCAACTGCATTTGCAGAGTCCAAAGTGCACAGTCTGTTTGCCTTTTAGTAAATCAACCCCAATGTGTAACGGAGACATAGAGGTTAATTTACTAAAGGAGTTGTGAATCTTCAGTCAATAAATTAAGTAAAGGTTCAAGTCAATTACCTAATCATAGTAAAAGCAAAATCCTGCTTTTTATTTTCATCTGCACATGCCTGGGTATTCAAAGTGAATAAAGCTGCAATATATTCATAGTGATTTACAGAAGAAGTAGAGCATGTTCAGTTTGCAAAGTGAAATTTCATTTAACTTAGTGATTGAGGTTTCTTCAGTCAGCTTATCATGTGCAAACAAAAACCCTGCAATTTTCCTTGCACTGTGTATTGTTTGCAAAGTGAATTGTTACATAGCTTCAACTCATTCATGAAAAGTAAAAATTCACTCTGCAAAGTAAGCATGTTCTACGCATTTAGTAAATAATTTTTACCGAGTGAAGAGTTTCCCTTAATAAATCCTACTTATATAAACTAACAATTAGAGAATGTCTCTACCAGTGTGTGGGCACTTCTGAGTGTGTGCTGGGGACTTGCCAATGTTGAAGTCCATGACTCCAGTAAGGATCAAATCTGAAAGGTGGCAAATGGACTTTTGTTATACATTCATTCTTGGTGGTGGAATGTTCCAGGAATACAAATTACCATCTCTCTTTATACCACACAATTGTAAAGAATGAAACTCATAGGTCCTGTAAGCAGCTAGTCCAAGTTGAGCCTTTTTTCTGGGTTCGACATTTCCAGACATCTTGATTGGCTGAACTAGGATGAAGTAATTCCCACACATGTACACAGAAGATAATTCATCCCGACACCAAAGCATTCAGATGGGCACCTCATTGAACATTCTAAAATGGTTTTCACAAAGGAAGGTAAGACTTTAAATTGCAGGAGAGGCATATTGGGGGAGATTTACTAAAACTGGTGCACACAGAATCTGGTTAAGCTGTGCATAGTAAGCAATCAGTTTCTAGGTTTTATTGCCACAGCTTAATTGAGCGAACCGAAAATAGAAGCTGATTTGTTACTATGAACAGCTGCACCAGATTCTGTGTGCATATGTAGCACCCTCCTAGGGTAACAACCTAGGGGAATAGTCATCAGGGTCACATTTTGGTCATGGCTGAGAGGCTTTGCAGGTCAGTTCCCTGATACCTCCCCTTGCTCTAGAGTCTTGAAAAAGATTCTAGAAGCAATGGGTAGGGGTGTGGAGGGATTGGCCTGCACTACTAGAGGGCTCTGGTCAATCCCCAAGCAGGAGGCTTTGCATGGGGCCAGGGCAGCCTTTAAGTGTGATTGAGCCTGCTCAGCAGCAGGAGAGTTTGGATGGAAGATGTGAGGAAGGCTGAGATGCAGGATTCTGGGAGGAGGCCAAGTGGGAAGGGACCTACCTACAGGATGGAACCTGGAAAAGAAGATTACTCACCCCATCAGTCCCCAGAGGGAGGACCACCTGTGGAGCCAGGGAAGGAGCCAGCCGGGTAGCGCCTGAAGGCAGCCACCACCCCAGCCAGCTCACAGGAAAGGACTGAGTGAGTAATCCAGCACGCCCTGGGCCAGAAAAGGGGAGAAGGCATTCTGGTGGTAAACCTGACTTGCTCTAGACCTGGGACTGTTACATTTGAAGTGGCAGCTTTGGATCCCCTTGCCCAGGGATTCACCCAGTTAGTTGGATGAGGGGAGGATCCATCTGGGGTGATACACCAGGAGAGGCTGGAGAACTCTCCAAGAAGAGTTTTGCTGCAAAGAGACTTGTACATAGTTGCCAGGAAGTTATCCTCAGTTTACTGTTCCTTGGGCATCCCATACGTCCCTCAACCCCATCTAAGTTTATTACCCCTAATAAAATCCCCCCAAAAAGTTCAAGGACTGTTTACTGTCTCTGGAGTGCCAGTCTGTGAAAAATGTGTGTTGCCTGGCTGTGCAGGACTATAGGGGGACCCATCTTCAGTGGATCCTAAAGGGTGGTTCTACACATCAATTAAGCTTATACAATAAAATCTGGACGCTGAATGGTTCTGTGCAGAGCTGCACCAGAGTTTGCACTCTGAAGTTTAATAAATCAACCTTACTATGTCTCTTCTGCAACACAAATACCTTTTGTATGTAAAAAAAAATGTTCTTTTTGTACATACAATTAAATTTTTAATATATACTTAAACAGATACCGGGCAAAAAGCAAACATACAAGTGGCTCAAAAATGTTAGTTTGCATAATATGTTCATGCTACACTTATATGGTTATGTTCATATCTGCAAAGCAAAAAAAGAAAACCAGGGCATTTTCAATCTGAAACCTGCAATCACAATTTCTGTACAGAGCAATTGGAAAGGAAAAAAAGTCTACAAGCTATGTCTGTGTGATTACCTAATTATAAGATTGCTGACAGAACTCTAGCTTAGCAGAGACAAGGGGGGTTTGAACTGCTGAACTGAACATAAAGTGTAACTCCAGTCTAGTTGAAAAAAAAAAATCCTTGTAGGTAATCTATGTAAAGGTTTTAGCAAAGTTTTTTGTTGCCTTTCATTGTGCTGAATACATTGTTGCTTACCATGACCATTATGCAATTGACTTCTAATTGCCAGTATCTACATTAATTATACCTGCAGTCACGTTGTCTGTACGTCCACCCATCCATCTTGCTCATGGTGCTTGCTTTTGTGATTGGTTTCAGTAGACTTTGGAGGGTAATCTACTGAGGTACAAAACCAATGTCAGTCTAAAGTTTCATAAATAAATCTAAATATGTTTTATTATTCTATGAACTAAGTCCTGGCAATGCAAATTAATATTCATAAAAAAACACTAAAGAAGAGATGAAGCTCAAAGTTCGAAACAATCAGGTTTTATCAGAAAAAAAGTGCAACAAGCAGTAGAGACATACAAAGGGTGAGAAACCATAACAATTAGATTTTACTCTATTGGAGTCATATACGTTATTATGGGTTGATATGGGTCACCGCAGTTTATGCAGTATTCTTGCTATATGCTGCCATCTTAAAGCTGAACATCACTCTCTCAATCGACATTGACTCTTTTTAATCCCTGTGCTCCTAACCCTGGTACATAGATAGTAAAAGTATATCATATTTGCTTTTTTTAAACTTTTTTTTTTTTTTTTTACATTTCTTTAGTTACTTCCTGGTTTCTAGGCCTAGACAAATGATGTCATTCATCCCTGGAGTCTTCAGGAGGGGGTAGGGGTTTTCTGAGCTAAGCACACTCTCCTGCCTGCATGTCTGAACTAAGGGCAGATGGATTACACAAAATACATGCTGCATGAATCATCTGCCCTTACTAAACATGGCTACAGCCAGGATTGCTAGGGGAGTGTTTTTCAAAGTTTCAAACACTCAGCAAAATGAAGCATGGATACATGGATGGATGGGTGAGATTTCTCTGCATATTAAAAATGAACATAGTCACATAGTTAGTCTGGCTGAAAAAAGACAAAAGTCCATCCAGTTCAACCATTAAAAAAAAAAAAAAAAATAATCCTATACTCAGTTGATCAAGAGGAAGGCAAAAAACCCAGCAAAGCATGATCCAATTTGCTCCTGCAGGGAAAAAAAAATCCCTTCCTGATCCCCCGAGAGGCAATCGGATATTCCCTGGATCAACTTAAATGTTAGTATCCAGTTATATTCTGTGTATCTAGGAAATAATCCAGGCCTTTTTTAAAGCAATCCACTGATCTGGACCAAATAGCGTTTTTGTTTGCGGTGCTCAGACGCGGTGTAGTTCCACTTTAAGCAATCTCCCCAGATGCTTCTTTTCAATGAAAGCCTAAGAGAGGTCATCTGGGCTGATGGGAATGATATTTCCATGTACTACTGATCCAGGGATAAGGAAAGTAAAATTTCAAAGAAATATTTTTTTTGGAATTGAGGGGATGGTTGTATTTATAGTGTAAATAGAGATTCGTGCATAGGATGACATTTTCAGGCAATGTATACTGCTGAGTCGGGTTGGGAATAGAAATACTTCTAGATATAGTAAACCTCCCAATTGTTCCTGATTTCGAGGGACTGTGCCTGATTTGGAACAAAGTCCCTCTGTCCCTATTTCTTCCTCATTTCTCCTCATTTTGGTCCGATCTATATACTGTAGTTGTAGAAAAAATGCGCTATTTGCCTTTCAAAAAGTATTTCACCCTTTCATCCAGTTTCCAAATTGTTGCATTTATAAACTTCAAAAACCAGTATAAAGGAATAGTAGTGGTAAAAAAAAGCACTTATGGGTTTACCTAACATTTTTTTTGTATAACTCTCCTTTAAGGAGGTGTGGTCGGGAGGGTGTGTCCTATGCCTACATAAATTTCTAATAGGTGTTCCTCATTCTCCTCTCAAAAAGTAGGGAGGCATGGCTAATAGATTAAGGCACCAGGACATTTTGAGCACACTGTGTTGCAGAACTGTGAAGTGGGGCATTTGTATTTGTAGGGGAATTGTTAAGAGATGGGGCACCCCAGGAATGGGAGCACAGGTAAATTTCCAGGGACCACTGTAATGCTGAATCTGAATGCCTTATACTCTGTATTAGCCCCGTACTTAGTATCCTGTAGAATTCCAAAGAGAGCCCTTCATTTGCAATCTGCTTTATCGTCCGTAAAATAAATGGAAGTGCTACTAAACCCAGGACCCTGCATTCACTATATCTGGTTTCCCACAGTACACAGAACATGGAAATGTAATTATTTTAGTAAATGTAAACTGCTAAATACCTTTTCTCATCAGCAGTTAGAGCAGTCTTGTGGCGTCTATCAGTGTCCAGTCCAGCACTAGCTTGTAGCTCAAGTTTTCCTTCTGCTCTAGGAGGATGCAAAACCCTGACTTCTGTCTGACCAGTGCTGATTGACCCTGGGCTGATCACATGCACTCTCCCACTAAATAAAGAAAAAACAACCTATCTAGCAATACACACCAAACTGAGCATGTGCAAAATGCCTACGGTTCAGTCTGTCTTACAAGGAGATAAGAGACAGTCGCTTGAAAAAGGGGAGGAACAGAGAAGAAAGGATCAAATGGCCTTTTTACACAATGTAGAGGATTAACCCCTTAGGTTTCACAGTGAGTATAACGAGCAAACTTTACTGTATACACAGACTGATTTTACTGTTGAGGATTTAGTAACACTGTAAACAGGACTAGTGCAGCAAATATCCCCATGAATGAAATGTCTGTGATGACACCACCATGCAGCTCTTAGACTCCCAGAATAAATTACATGTTTAGAAACATTTAATTGATATGCGCGATGATCCATCTTGTCCCACTTAGCTTTACCTCTTTTTATCAATGTGCCATGGCTGTACAGAAAGGCTGATACTCCACTTCATACATAAAAAGAAGGGATATGAACTGCATATTAATACCTGCATTTAGTAAGCATTCTTTATGATGGGAATCAGATAGCGTAGGCTACAGAGACTCGCGTGTTTTGTAATCATAAAGATGGATACAAACTGGAGCACTATAAAGATGCTGCATTCTAGTGTACTTTACTGCATATTTTACTGCAATTTAAATTCTGCAAAGCACTCTAAAATGTATAAATGCATAAAATGTATAAGTGCAAAGGCATGCTAAAACACAGCATTTTCAAAACATTAAACTATGCATCTAACCTTAGTGATGTCAGTAGTTGCAGTACCAACTGGGGAATTCATACATTTCAATGTTCGCATTTTAATGCATGCAGTGGTACTTGGTAAAGCAGATTTTTTTTTTACATGAATGTGCATTTTTTATCTGTTCATAGGCATGTTTGCATGTGTTTTAACACACATTATCACACATCAAAATAGTGAATCTCTGAGGACTCTTTCAAACCAGATGCTTTCAAGTGCAGTTTTAGGGCCTGTTCACACCATGAGTGGCAACATTTGAATAGGCTGAAATTGCACTGCATCGCACCAAACGTAGTGCATGCTCTACTTTAACAAATGCACAGCAACCAGATAACAAAGTACTACTCTACAATGCAATCCGGTGCAGGCATAAGCACTGCATTTGCAACCTGGGTTTGGGGTGTCGTTCAGATGAAATTATTCTTGGCTAAAGTGAAACTGATACTCGCTGTAAATCGCAAGTGCAGTGGGTTTTGAATGCGGTCTGGGAAATGCACATGGAAAGCTGCTTTCCTGCAACTCATTATTTTCTGAACTAGCCCTTAAACCATATCCAGACTGCATGCAAAGGGTTGATTTACTAAAGAGAAATAGACTGTGCACTTTGAAAAGTACAGTTGCACTCTGCAAGTGCAGTTGCTCCACAGCTTGGTAAATTAAGTAAAGCTTCATTTTGCAAGGAATACCCAATCACAGTCAAGGAAAATAAAAAAAAAAAAAAAACGCATTCTTGCTTGCACATGATTGGATGATGGAAGTCAGCAGAGCTTCTGTTCATTTACTAAGCTCTGGAGCAACTGATCTAGCAGGTTGCAAAGTGCACTGTCTATTTGCCTTTAGTAAATCGACCCCAAAGTATTTACCATGTATTCTAATAGTCCTAGTTCGCCCCAGTGCGGCCAGTTCCAGTGATTTCAACAAAAGTACAACTTGGTGCATTAAAAATGCCTGGAATGCACCAAAACACGTGTAACTAACGAAAAAGACATTTTAAGTGTCAAAATAAAATAAAAATAAAAAACGCATTGGGCTAGCATTGAAAAATGTGTCAAAAACACATGAAAAATGCATGTAACTGCGTATGCAAAAACACACCTGGTACGCTGAAACTGTGGTTTGAACAAGCCCTGTGCCTTTAGTAAAAACCCCTGAGTAACAGGCAGATGCTTGGACTTTATTGATGGCAATGGTTAGTGTGGTGGCCGAGAGTGTAGCAAGGCTCACAGGTACAGAACTTATACAGGAGCCAAAGGGATGAGAAAAAATATGGCCTGTTGGTTACATGGCATTGAACTAGTTAAGGCGTGTACCTGACTCATCAGCTATACCTACTGGGCCTACTAAGTGCAAAGCAAGCAAGCAAGGGATAGATGTGGAGATATAGAGATAATATAGAGTCCACTAGTTTGAAAAAATGTGCAGTTAGCTAGTCTGCTGCTTGGTGACTCTGTACCGGAATAGTGTGGTAATCTGGAATTATGTAAGTGGGTGTTAGGTTCCCTTTTAGAATTAGAGTCTTTCTGTAGTGATGTCATGGGTGTAGCCAGTGCCCATATATATGCCAGGTGCCCTAGTGCAGTTGCTGCATGGGAACCAAACACCCCACCAGCATGCAGATGCAGTCAGCTACTGCAGAGGCCCTGCATTGGGTAAAAGTTCCCAGGGGAGATAGTCCAATACCCAACAGAGCTGGCTGCATTTATCCTTTCTCACTAAACATGGTCTAAGTGGATTGGGAACATGGGCTAACTGGACTGGGAGCAGGATGCAAAAGGCCTGAGATTGAGCTCTGCAGTCACTTTTGCAGCAGTTGTTTTCTTATTCCGGTTCACAAACCTGCGCAATGTCCTTTTTGTTTCTTTCGGTCAGTTGACCATGTCGACCAAACTTATGCTTATCAGATAATGTTTACCCGTAAACTGTATTTGCCGTCATAACCGTTGATACTGTTCCTCGTGACATGGCAAACAAACTGACAGCTTCAGTCACAGAGGCACCAGCTAAGCGGGCACCAACAATTTGCCCTCTTTGAAGCTCAGTAAGCTCTGACAAGACTCCATACTACTAGCAGCACACACATTGAATGACATAAGTGGGGCTTCCTCTGCATTTTGTTCCCTGAGCTGTATATTAGCATATACATTATATAACATATATTAGCAGCGCATGCAGTGAATGAAAACCTGCTAGCTAGGTGTCTCATCACACAGCAGAAGCAAAAGAATGTTACATCATTTCCGCTTTCAACTTGAAACATGTAATCACTTTCACACCTGCAAATCATAGTAGTTTCCGTTGTTTGTCTAACCCCTGTATATTACACATCGTTCCACTCTGTACACTGTGCTGTACATTGCATAATTCACCTTACTCCACTTTGTACAATGTGCTGCACACATATGCCCCATACTGCTCCACTTTGTACACTGTGCTGTACAACATATACTCAACACTGATGCCCCTGTATACTTTGGAGTATAATACATGCCATGGCAAACTTTGGGTATGGCCACATTCTTCTTGACAGTAGAAAGGCCTGAAGGGGAATTGTTAACTAGGACCTGCGCCAACTGGTTATATACACAGCACACATGTGCCACAGTCCGTGTACCCACAAAATATTTAATTACTGTGCCACAACCAACGTCTCAAAAACACATTTAAGTCTCGGCACTAAGGATGAGCTCAGATGTCCTCCAAACTCACCTGTAATCCCAATCTCCTGCTTTTTGTGCTCCAATGAGTTTATGGAAACTGAAGCTGCCTTGCAGATCATTAAATACAAAAAAGTGGGAGTTTGGAATTCAGATTAGAGATGAGTCTGTAAGCAGATGGGGTAGAACAGGTTCCCTTTAATGTGCCTCTTTCCCCTGGGAGAAGGTTGGGAGCTTAGGAAGGACTCTAGAGTGAGAAGGAGGAGAGTCAGCGAGGAGAGATAAAGGAGAAACATTGAGCTGCTCTGCTCCTGCTCTTCCCTCTTTGGGGGGGGGGGGGGGCAGGGTGTGCCCGGAACACTTTCATAGACCCTTGGAGAGAGCTTCAGCTGTACATTTCAGAGCTAAGTTTAGGACTTGGGAGTTGGTGTGCCCTCAGTTATTCCCCTTTCCCATATCAGGCAGGAAGAAATGGAGTAGTGAAGCCACATGGAATGAATGGTGAACTCACTGCTGAAGAAGGTACGAGCAGCCTCCCACTGGGCCAAAATCAAATGTCACTGATATGATGCTCAAGGAGCTGTGTTGGGGTCTGAGACCCAAGATTGTTGTGTCACCATTCAAGATTCCCTAGTAAAGAAGTTAATCTACAGTATGTGTGACCTCTGTGCATATTTATTCAGTTATCGCAGTAGATCTGGAGAAAGAAAGAGCAGAGTTATCACTGATTTCAACCTTGCTGTTGAGCCGAAGGAAGATGAAGACCAGCGTCTGGATACCCCTAGGAGTGAAGGGGTGGAGGGGCTCTGGCCTTTGGCCACCACCCACACATTGGGGAGAGTCACAGTGCAACGTCCCATGTTGCCCAGATGGTTAGTCTATATTAGGGGTGACCTGGCTGCTCACTAGGGCCAGTGAGAGGTCGCCAAAGCTCATCTTTACTCAGCACAAAATTATAGAGCTGACACTTTGCCTGATTGTACGTTAAAGAAAAATTTCAAACAAAGGTTGAGCACTGCAATTAGAAACTGCTGGGGCAATGAACACCTTGTTAGGGTTGTGAAATTTCATGTCTCTTCTGCAATAAAAAGCCTGCCTGGTCACAAATTCTTTTTGTATTATTTTACATTTAGTTCCACTTTAAATTGATGGGTTTAGTTTGGCTTTTAGCAACTTCGCCTGAAAAAAGGTTATTACCTGGCAGGAATGGAATTTCAGTACTTCCTATGGTGACACAGTATTGAAATATATGTATTCATATGTGGTGTATTTGCAGAAGGATTTAGGTAATTTAGTTTTATAATGCAGTGCAGTGATCCACGTACCAAAGAGATTAAGATTTGTAGCAGAGAATTGAGTTTTCCTTGACAGCTGCCATCTGTCTCATTAAACTTGCACAGGTCACTAAGTGTCCTCTAACTTGGCAATGATTGAGGCAGTGGTAAATCTTGGCCCTTCCCTTTATAGAGGACTTGGCATTAGAAAGCACAGTGCATGTTAATGCAGATGTTGGACAGTGAAGGTTAAAGTT